AACATCGACCAGACTACACAGCGCAACAACCCAGAAGACAGAAATCTTCATACTCTGATGACGGAGGCAGTATGACCTCTGAAACGTTGGTAAACATCGACCAGACTACACAGCGCAACAACCCAGAAGACAGAAATCTTCATACTCTGATGATGGAGACAGTATGACCTCTGAAACGTTGGTTAACATCGACCAGACTACACAGCGCAACAACCCAGAAGACAGAAATCTTCAAAATTATATGTGTACTTAGGAATAGCTGACCAGTGTTAATCTTATCTTTCGAAAATATTTTATGAAATTGTGAACTGAATTAAACAGGAAGATAAAAGGACTCGGTGGAGGTCATATGTGATTGCGCCGTTGGAATTCTACAAGAAATTGATCTTCTGAACACATACTCGAGGACCGGGTGGTGATAGTAAGTTGTAGGAACTTAATTCGTTTTTTGTAATAAAATCTTCTCGGGCGACAAGCCACGTCAAGACGGATCCGTAGTCAAACGTTTCAGAGGCATCCTTTGTTTCCATCATCAGGGAATGATCCAACGTTTCAGAGACGCTATCTGTCTCTGAAAAGTTGGACTACAGCTCCGTCTAGACGTTGCTTGTCGCCAGAGAAGATTTTATTACATTCAGTAGTCGGGAAAGCTTCGAGTCATACTCGTTTTCGGTTAACCGGTGTAATTTGCAATTGTTGCTGTGAAATTATATAATGAAGTGCTTATGTACACGGAACTGTGGTTTTAGGAGATCACTAAAGTCATACCGGAAACCTGGAATTTTTTTTGTGACAAACAATTTACAACTGTTTTTCTTATTTTATAAGAGACATTTGGCGTATGACGTCATCGTGTTCGTATGTCTCTCTCTCTCTCTCTGTATATTTGCTGTCCCTTAACAAAATTTTAACCAATCAATGAATTTTCATGAAACTTTGTATGCACATAAAGAACTGAAGGTGCTCCAAATTTCGCCATTTGTAATTTCCTGTCATCAATATTATCAAAATGGCGACTGTGCAACCATATTTTATGAAACGTAAATTATACAAGTTCACACAAGATTATGATATACGGCACGGATAAAATCCTCAGAAAAATGTGTTTTTTTGTTTTTTGGGGGGGGGTCATGTTTTTTGAAATCTGTAAAACTTGGCAGAGGGATCGTATGGTAGTGTGGCTGTTTATGAATTACGAGGTGGAAACTACTAGGGATATGAATTTCTTCATGGAAATTGATCATATGATTTCCATAAATTCTGTTTGAACAATTTCTTATGTACGAGGCGCGTCCTCAAAGTAAGTTTCCCTGGGGCCGTTTACAGAAACAAAACACAATTTCATGGAAATATTTATTGCAACAGATACAGC